TTGATGATCTTGAAGTTCCCTTCCAACATATAGGATTCTATGATTCTGGATTCTAATTATATATTTACAATTAAGGGTTAACAGCCATGGCAGGCTCTGTGATTAACATAACTGTGGTCAACATTCATTTTTGCTTGCTACTGCAGTGTTTTTTGGTCAGCATGTCTAACCACTGTAACCACAGCAAAATCTTTTAATTGCTTAACAGATGTATTTCTTGGTCATTTTCATCATGGCTGAACTGAAGGTTCAATGTTCATGAGAACAACAAGAATGCCACCACCTCCTAGCCATGCATAATGAAAGTCGCTTGCGGTTACTTAGTTCAGGAGTGTCTCCTGTTGACCACACTAAGCATACGTATAAAATACTGTGATGAGAGACCACTGGTTGAATATGCGGAGTGTTGTGACAATCTACAAAGTGTGGGTTTGATTTTGTTTTTTTCTGGATTTTCCTTTTCATAGAACCAAAAGAACTTGAAGATGAGACATGATGCTTTAATAGCAAAAGTTGATGAACTGAATGTACAGCTTAAAGAGGAGCGGTCCAAGTGTCTGCGTCTTGAAAAAGAATTGCAATCAGGAACTGCTTCAAACCGAAAGACAGAGGAGGTGAGATGGTGTTCAAGAGAGCTAGAATCTGCCTTAGGTAGTGCACATGGCTAAGGGAGAAGTTAACAATGCAATACCTATTAGTTGTGGAGATCTGAATAAAAATTTCAAACACATTTAGAAAACTGACCTGGTAATAGACATTTTTTTATCCCATTAAAAAGAAAAACCTGTGGCTGCTATTGGCATTGCATAGAACCACGGACCATGCCTGATTCCCATGCCACATAGTCCAATGTTTAGTCAATACTTGAGGTTAAACCATAGGATTTCACGTTAATTCTGATACTGAACAAGCGGCTTGCTAATCACAAAAAAAAATCATAATAGTTGATTTATTGATCATGTATTGCTTGAATTTCAGTTATTTCTACCAGTTTTAATTATAGTTGAGTGTAGTATTACATCTTACTCAGCAGTTCGAATCAGTCACTTCTATTTCTTTATCTGGTGGCTCTCAGAGACTAGTGTCATCACTAACAGTCATCCAGATATAGAGCTAAAAATCAAGTGATTTGTTCCTCATTCTCTTCAATGGAGGACTAAGAGCATACAAACTTATCTGGGCTTTCTTACATTTTGTTGCAACTTATGTTTAGTTTTATCACCCAGTTTATGTGTTTTGAATGTATTCTATATGAACCAAGTTTACCTCACAGATCTTTCCTCCAAACCTTTAAATTACTGTAATGCATGTAGAGTATATCTTTGAGGTTAAAGCATCTAGTATCTTTAAAGCCATATACTACATTAGTGAGTATTTTGAAAGCAAGGACTTGTTTTTTGAAGGTCAATTTAAAAAAAAAAAAAAAATTACCATGCAGGAGCCATTAATTAATACTCATCAAAATGGAAATAATTAATCCTGTACACATTTATTTTTTTATAAGGAAGAATGTGATCAAATACTGTTGTTCAAATTGACAAGTTAGTCTGAGCTTCATATACGCAACATGTTAAAGACCAGGCCAAATGTAAATCCATATGGTGAAAAAAGTGTTATTTTGAAGCTTCTAAGATACTGTCATATTAAAAAAATAATGCAAAAGCCTAGCAATGCCTAAGAATTATTAACTAATTATCTTTACACATTCATTCTAATTTCCTCTTGTGCTATGCATTTCTTGGAACTTCCTTCTTCATATTAGTTACAGGGAAGAATAAACTATTTAGAAAAAGAGAAGGAGCTCTTGAAGGAGAACTATGATAAGCTGCATAATAGGTAAGTTATGGTTTCTATGTTAAAAAAAAAAAAAAAACAACTTGAATCTTGTCCTGTTTCATGGGTCTTCACATACTATCTGCTTGAATGTGTACGTGCATATCATGTGTTTGTGCACACATGTAAATATTTTAATGCTACAGATCATCATATCAGACTTCTGACAGCTTCTCCAATGTTTATTTTTGAGTGGTGAATGGTTTATTTTGGCAATAGACAACTCCACTTGTACTGGTTCTCGTTGATGGTTTTGTGTAGTCTGATGTGAGTTTTTACAAAGGTTCCTGTACCTAATGAGTTGTATAAATTGTATCAACAATACTTAAAAATGAAAATACATTGCTAGATGTGATTCAGAAATTCTCTGGTATAAAAAAGAAGTAATTACAGTCATTTGCCACAAGCATTTTAAAGGAAAAAATTACGTTCTCCTTTATTGTGATACCATGTCTTTTACAGTAAAGAGGGTTAGAAAATAAGAAAAATGTCCTAGAGTTAATAATTGCCTCAGAAAGTAGACAAAATGTTTTTTCTCATATCAAAATTATTTCTCCTCTTAAAGTTTGTTTGATTTGTCAGAGTGTGATGTCTGTCAATAAAGTACCAGCGGCTAAACAATGTGAACAGATGTTGTTTACAGTATTCTTGCAGTATTTATTTTACTTTTCGTACTCCCTACAGTGAAATTAAAAACTCTAGTAGTAAAAAAATGAGTACAAATATCTTAAACCATTTTTTTACATATGAGATGTAACAGTTGTATAATCACAATATTTAGAGTTTTGTATAGGGGCGGTTGGTCAGTTCTCTCGCTTAACTTCATTGTGGTAGATAGCTCCAAAGTCTGATCATGTTATAAATATTTCTGACTTTTTTTTTTTTTCCCCATCTCTGTCATGATGCAGAGAAATAACTGTTACAGTCTTGGCTCATAATTTTCTGTTTCAAACATAGTGGGATAACTTTAAAAGATGTTGAATTAGATAAATTTAAACCTGGTTCTCTCATAAATGCGGTAATCTACAATATGGCTTTTGTTTTACCTAAAATGATCTGTCGTTTCATATACTCCCATTTCAACTTTGGTTCATGTTTCATCATTCCGCGTGACTATATATAGGTAACAAGAAGTTAGAGCAATAGCTTATTTCAGTATAGCTACTGTTTCATGGTTGGCTTTTTCTGCTGCCCTTTTAACAATGCAAATCTGCTACAGCTTTCCTGTTGCTAGCAGTGGCTAGGCCAGTGTCCACAGGTGCCAGATAAGGAACAAATATTAAATGAAGGAAAAGAGACATAAGTCCATTCTTTGCTAATGTTATTTTTTTAAAAAATCATTTGAAGTTGATGGGAATTTTGCCAAAGTTAGGACTGCAGAACTAAATCTGAAAAGTTTACAAAGAACAAGTATGAATTTGTCAGTTGATTCTTATTATTTAGTCAGTATCCAAGAAAACAAGTCATTTGGATAAAAGGTTTGGAGGAATTGTTTTCATATGACCTTGTAATGCAAATCTAGCAATGCTTAAACTCCCTCCAAAGGAAATGGTGCCAGATGTGGTTGACCATTTATAGTTACCCAGATGGCTCCAACTCCAGTGAAATACAGTAAATGTGAAAGAAATACCACATGAATTCAAGTTAAAGTGATCTTAAAATTCAAAGGAAGAAAGCAACAGAAGTGGACTCAATTCAAACTGACATTGCCATTATATACCTTTGGATAAAATCTGTCTTTTAACGTGTTCTTAATTTAAACATCTAAATCCTGAATTACTATCATTGTAACTGTTGATGATTTTTCTGACGGCATAGTCTTTTGAAAAATTGAAATAATGTTTAGCTACATCTTTATGTAAGGTGATTGCACCTAAAGATAGGAATGCACGTATAACTAGGTATCATGGTCATTAAACCTAAAAACTTTTTCAGCAGAGTGGAAACTAAGGGTATATTGATATCTTTTCTTGCTAAGGTTTATTCTTTCCTTACG